CTACTCCGGAATAAGAATTATTACGTGTTTATCTATGTGCATGTTGTACATACACAGTAACAGTTATTAGCTCATTGTATTGTACATAGTACTGTGTTATGTAAACATAGCACAAATCTTTGTAAAATAGTGTTTTATTGTTTGTTTTCAATCAATATTTGGTTTAGAAACCGGATATCAGGACTTTGAATACAACTTAGGTTTTAATTACGATCGCTTGAACATTTTGCAAACTCTTGTTTGGATGACCATCATGCGTATATGTATCGTAAACACTAGTACTTACACCCACGTTTATACCTAAAACAGATATACCTACACGACGTATTCTAGTCTAAGCGCTGAATAACTTTACATAATATAAATAGCACGTTCTACGTTCATTCACACACGAGTTGTAGACTAATGAATGAGATACATTTACATTGATAGATAAGCGAGACGAATGCTAACGCATCTTGTTCTCAGAAGAGGCATACAGAAGTACAATTCGTTAACAAAGGTTGAATTTCAATACTAAATATAAGATGTAGGTTTTCTACATTGCATGTACAGCTCCTTATCGTCAGCCATATCTTAGGCCCATTCATCTTTTTTTTTATGGAATAAGAGACAAACGAGCAGACGGATCACCTGTTGGTAAACGATCAGCGCCGCCCATGGACTCCCGCACCACCAAAATAACCAACACCTAAAAAGGAATACCCACCTAAAACGCTCTTTTCTTAATTGTAGGTATAATAGTTTGCCAAATAATATTAAGGAATGTTAGTCGATTGCCATGTTTAAAATACGTTAAGAAAATATGTATCTGAAAATATGTTCTATATGAGTAAATAAACAATCATTAAACCTTTTTAAAGGTTTGAAGGCCGTATCGGTTCAGAAATACCGCCGACGACAGATCATTACACAGTTTTGCTGTGCGAGACAGAAAGTTACGTGAGAAAGCTATATGACGGGAATGTATATGCTGTCGTGAGGGTAGATGGTGAAAATAGGCGGCAGGTATCAGGGAGAACAGTATTATCATGATGTACAGCCTGTAACTGTCTACTGCTGGAGTAGTCCAGCTAGCTATGGGTCTTCTTTACATAACAGGAGCTTGCCATAATCTCCTTAGTCAAATTAACTGATGGATATTACAGCCTAGTTAAATATTAAGTAAATTATAGTCAAAACTCAGGGTACTAATAAATTGGGTAGTTTCCAGGGTATCAAAATTAAAAATATAATTAGTCCGTCAGTTTTATAATGAAAACATATTAGACACGTATTTTTTTATTTTCTTGTATTAGGTTGTTACGTCATAACGTGCTATAAAATGTGGCACCCTGTGACGTCACACGATATTTCAAATTAATATATCGTCGAAAGTATTTAATTATGTGAAAAAAAAATACGTGTCTAAAGTTTTAAATTAATGTACCAGGCGGATATTAAAATAAAATTTACAAAACTACCCTATTGCTATTAAAACATCTGGTACACTACGGTCGGCACACTCCGAACTATTTAGTAACAACAAGTTGAATGTCGAAGTATCCTCAAAAAGAGATAACAAAAATTAACTCAATGCAATTCTGCGAATCCGGAATATTATTTTATCCATCTGACCTCGGAAATATTCAGATCATATAATAACAGTTTACATACCAATTTACATTTTAATTATAACATTAAACAATTCAGTTAATACTTAGATATTGTACATATGCAGGCGGTCGAACAAACGGTCATTAATTTCACGGACACCTAACAGCTGGGTGCAATATAAAACTTGATTTATTGGAACAATCATAATATGATTACAAAGGCATTAGAATGTTAACAAATTATACGTTCTTATGTATTACATCTGACGTAAATGATGGTGCTGGGATAATGATGTTATTGTTGGCTACAGTGTAATGTAGGATTCTGCAATAATGTGGCTGGCTAGGTTTAACTACGGCCTTATCTAGTAATTTAAAGATTGACATGTAAAAGTATTACTTTGTAACCCATTTTCAAAAATAAATTTATCATTTATCATTTATAATCTTCTTTTCCTTTTTATATAAGTATTTACAAGAAAAAGAAACACGGTTTTAGTTTTTAATTATAATATATCAACCCATAAACCACAGCATTGATTAAAATTAATTTTGATATAAGGTTATAGGGATTCTATACTGCCTTAGCCCTTGAAAACCTAAGATTTGTTAGAAATTACCAAGGCAAAGTCTAGGTATGCTTCACAAAAGGTAGATTAAAACCTATCTAACCATAATATAAGCAAAACAAAATCTTCTCTACGTAAGAAAATATTTTAGGTTTCTTTAACCATACAGAAAAAAATGGTATTCGCAAGGTTCTTACTTGGGACCAACATTGTTTGTGATGCAAGACCGTTTGTCCTTAGGCCATCGTGACCAAGTAGGAACTGTTTGATTGTATGATACTTGATCTATCTATCACCAAATTCACCGCACGATTGACCTCCGCCTGTCCACAGTATAACTTGTTTGACATGCCCATTGTACTTATTGATATTTGTGATAGTTTATCATGTTGTTATATCTTTGAATGAGGGCCTTATTTCATATTTACTGCCAACGAACCGAGTGGTGGAACTTTAAACACGTGCTATCGTTCATCGATCGCTAGTGCTTCTTAAGAGCTATGACATTTTTGTTTAAAAACCTAACCTTAATCGGGTTTAGAAGAAAAAAGTTAGACATAGTAAACTTGTTCATTCGCCAAAACAAGTATTTTACGTCTCAAAAGAGGAGTTTGCAGTTCCATGGATCGACCCTTTGTGATATCGAAAAAACAATACCATGAGGGAATTGAATCTAGAATCTGAAGTTCAGTGGTATTACTTACGACTACGCAACCAATAAGACACTTCTGTCGTGCTATGTTTAATGTCGTGACTACAGCTCATACACCGAATATCTATGCCACCAAATATTGAAGAGACATTTTTATTCTAAGGTCAGTTCGGTGATTTTTCTTATAATCAGCCTTGAACTACTCGTGATCACGACATAAGCTGATACACTTGTCATAATTATCTTTTGTTTTAAATGCCAGCTTTTTGTCACCATATATGTCTGGTGTATTATTAGGATTAAGGTTTAGGATAGGAAGGCTTAAGGTTACACTCTCTGCTTTTTAAGTATTTTAGTAATCCTTTAGACAAAGATGGTCACAAGAGCCTTTATATGTGTTGAACATGTTCTAAGACTCTGTTTGGTCTGGTTCTGTATCCACCTTAACAAAAGTATCGGAACATTGGAAGTGTGACCTCTTTATTTCATTTTACTACACATTTTGTATGGAGCTCATGTCAAAATTCTATCTTATAGTAAGCAAATCTACAGATAGATAGGTTATAGAAACTGGACGTAAGACGCCTGTTACTCATGCATGAGAGTGCTGGTTCGAAACATACCAATAGAAAGTACCAATGCGACCTTTTTCGAGTTATGTACTTTCTAAGATTATGGGCTTATAATTTGTAATTATAGGTTTAAGATCGCCAACCCGCATTGAATTAATGCTCAAATTTTTCCATGTGAAGGGAAGCTTTGCTCAGCAGAAGCCAATTAGGTATAGGCTGTTGATGATGATGATGATGATGATGATGAATAAATGAAAATATACTAAACAAAATGTTACTACAGTGGCACACAAATCTAAGTAGGGACTAAATGTACTCTTCATATGAAACTGGGTCAAAGATAACCAAACTCGAAACAATCCAAAACTCAAGAGACACAACTAATGAACCACCTAAGTTTGAACCATGTTTAAATAAACAGTTCTAGAAGTTCCGACAATGTGCCAACCAATAACAAATGAACTATGTTTCCAGGAAATGTCAAAACTCCTGACACCAAGGTTTCCTATGAAGTGGTTACTGGCCAGTAAGGTGGAAAGCTAACGTCACGCCCCAGTACTCACTTGCATTGTTAATATATAGTACAGTAACTATCACGCATTTCTCAGTACTGTTGTGTAAAATGTCGGTGGGTGTTGCCGAAATTACTTAAGTAGTTTTTTGGAGGTCTTTTTATATTCTTTTACTATGAAGATTGCTATTAATATTATTTTAGTGGTTCTGTTCTGATGTGTATGGATGGATTGTACCTTTAGAATATCATAAATGATGATATGAATTTGAAATTGAATATGAATTGAAAGTAACAATAGTTTTCTAAGTTTTTATGGATCTTATAATATTATCAATCTGTGATTTTTTTCATAATTATTTCAACTATGATTAATTTATAATCAGTTAAGACAAATATAAAAGAGGTAGTTGTTTTATTAAAAACAATGAGAAATATCAAGATCTTGGTTCATTCAGCTTGTAGTTGGTCGTGAGTGAAATAAGGTCACTGTCGCACTCTCGCAGTGTCCGGTCGCAGTTTGATGTCGTAACCATCGACACGTGGTGAACCGCTTGCTACCACTTTCTTATACTAAATGAAGACTTGGGTTTTTTTGCTAAGATATACGAAATTTTACGAATAGACTTTTTTTTTAAATAGCTCATCATAGGACAACTCAATCTTTTTGACAAATTACATTCTCGATGAATTGACATAACTACAGTTCATCGAATTGTGGATGAAAGCATGCGTATCTAGGTAGGTATCTACTCATAGGCTCACGAATGTAAAAAAATATTATTCTTATTCTTATATACTTTCGAAAAGATTGGAGGGAAGGCCACATACCGACCGATACATCGTGAATCTAGATAAAATAAAATTGTATTTTTTACGCAAAATTAAACTGAACTGTTAGCGAGAAGTGATCTACATGTCCTAAAAGTACAACCAGTCGCAAATCGACGAATGAATCTCTAAGTTCTCAGAGACCTATAATACTGCAATTTCTGGATCTGGTCAGACCACGCCAAACATCATCACTTTTTCTGGCTGATATTTTGATTCAATTCATGAACGGAGTTGTAGTTAAAATCTTAAAACAATTGTGGTACTTACGTGAACTCCATACGAATACGTGTACTTGGGGTGTGAGTCAAATTGGTCGTACGCCACCTTCAGGTCAGGATCCCTGGTGTAGTGCGCCAGGCTCAGGGGACTGCCCTTCACCGTATGTATCTTCTGGAACTTGAACGGCTCCGGCTTCTTCTCAGCTTTAAGAGTTTGCACCTCAAAATCTGTAGGCCTTGTTTTATCCTCGTCTGAGAAGAACAGCTTGTTTGCATGGGGCTTGTAAAGATTGAAATCGTGATTCAAAGGTTTGAACTGGTATTTGTCGATGAATTTATAATTTTCATTTTTGGTGAGTGGTGCATTTCCAGTGTAGAATTGCGATTGCATTAGCTTATGGATTGCTTTATTTCTTTCGTGCTGGGGTAGCTTAGTGTCTGGATCATCTAAGTATGCTATTAATGCATCTTCTAAGTTCTTGTACGTGCTGTAAGCATACTCTGGCTGTTTAGCTCCCGGACCTGTGTCGTCGTATTTGTTCTCAATGGCAAATTTGATTTGTGACTCCGATGCTGCATGAACTTTTTTGAATGGTGATGTATACCGATATGGACTCGCGTCCTGCCATGATGTAGCTGATGACAGCATAAATATGAAGGGTACCTGCGGACAATTTCATATTTTATAATGCTATGTAGTAGATTATTTATCGGTATAGTACAATTATTCCAATTGTTGTTCGGTCCATAAATCAAGGTGAAGGTGACATTTATCTTTTACGCGATCTTGCCAAATTAAATTACTCTTTTCACATAACTGAAACAAATGTCTGAGTAACAGGATTCACACCATTGTTGGTCAAGGTTCGGCCAGTGATGTCCTCTAAATTAGCATAATTATGTATTAAATTGGCTATGATCGTCTGGTTCACATGGTCATGCATCGACCGACATTTTGTTAATTACTACTTATTGAACGAAAGAACAAGTAACTGTGTTGTTATTTTCGAAACCGGTAACTTATTGTTTGCTATATGGAGCAGTTTACATTGCGTGGTCAGTGATCGTGTTAGGTAACCGACTGCTTTTTGCATTTGTATCCAATTATCATATAGTTGGTTTCCAGTTTGTTCAATCACTTCATTAGACTAATTTTTTAGGCATTTGACTAATTACATAATATGAGTAGTATCCATTACTGTGGTTTCTGCTCCGATTACTATTAGGTAGAGGTTTGGATTTTGTTTTTCTTTATGCGAATTAACAGATGACTGAATGCGAATTGAGAGCAAAACATTTAGTTTTTACTTTCAAATAATGGATATTAATAAATTTTTGTTTCATAAAGTAATGTTTGATAAAATCAGAGAAAAAGCCGGGTGCATAAACCCCATTAAAACCGCAACTTTCTAGTTCCTTGTAGTATTAGTAAAATGTAGTGCCATAAAGCGGATAGCACCATCCACTACTTGAATACTAACTCTCGGAAGGAAATAGTGCGTGGTAAATATTGCGTAAGGTTCCGTGAATCGACGTTTGCCTGAGTATTTTTGTAAGAGATCACTAAGACATCACAAAAGAAAACAAACTATATACTTAATACTAATCCATGTTTGGGAGTTAATATATATCCATATTTCGTGGGCGTGTGTGTGTCGGTGTGTGTAAGGAGTTGTGAAATAAAGAAAGTATATGAAAATCTATTAGTAATCTTGGTATAACTTGGCCAAAAATAACATGTATGGATTCTATTCCTTCGAAGCTATCGTACTTCAAAGGCTCTATCCAAAGACTATAGAACTTGATAAGAGGTATAAAAAACCGTTTAAAACCACTACTACCACCTTTGCCCGATTATTCAAATCGAAAATTATTTTGTTAATAATGCCTACCTAGGTACTTAATCTTAAAAATGATGAACATATTACCAAACGTGCATGTAGTCTGTTGTGTAAGTGACGTTCATAAATCAATTCGCATTAAGTAAACTATGTAAGTACGTAATAAAGTTTATTACCACTAGTTAATGTACTCGGTAATTCAGATAGGTACTGTTGAAACAAAATCTCCCAATTATTAAACTATAAAGTTTCTGAGTGCGAAATCTCGACGTGTACTATGATTAACGGAATAACGATACATTGTTTGGAGTTGAATGGTTCATTGTGTTGCAAACAAGTTACTCCACAAACAAATTGTTTGAAAAGTCAACTAGCCGTAATAAGGGATATAGGTTGGTTTTTTAATTAATCCACAATAATATTCGAAGGTCAAAATATAATGCGAATGTAATTTTTTTTAATCATTAGGAGAGCAGAATGATTTAAAGTTTTCTTGAAAGGTAATCAAAGAATATAAAGTAGTAAAATAATTGTAGATAATAGAAAATAGGTACCAAGAGTAATGAAGCTTTCATTATTTTAGCAAAGACGACAAGTTATCGTCTGATGAAGCGAAAGAGTTTTTAGTGTGGGACAGCCATGCTTCGGCACGAATGGGCCGCCTCGACCGGAGTGATACAAAAAGCCGACGTGAAACAACCCTTGCGTTGTATTTCGTCGTGTGAGTGAGGTTACCGGAGGCCCGCCGCGTATGGTTCTCTGATTGGTTGGTTTATTGGAGCTGGCCAATGAGAGCGCGTCTCATTTCGATTACTTAAAACGTAAAACAAACTCGTAAGTACTACTAGAATGTTGTCACATAAGGCCGTAAAGACTTATATGGTAGTTACGTGCAAGTTACGCGTGCAAAACGTGCCATCCCATGCATGTAGATTTTACGACCATCTTACAACTTGCTAGTTGAGTTTATAGTTTCCTAAGCACGTGATCTGTTACGTATGAAGTCGTGTTTGTTTACACTTTTTCTACAGCTATAACTGTTGTTGTGAACGTATAGCGATTGTAGATGTAACTGCACATTCTGAGTTTTTAAATTTGATTAAAGACAGGCACTGAAGTACTGGGTTCTTCTTTTTTACAAAATTTCGGGTGCTTTAAGGAAACTTAAATCTTATTTAATATCGTTACTAATAGCTCGATTCCCCCGATATAACCAATGGATCCGATCCAAACTACATAACTATACGAAATATTGCTCTAAAACCATATAAAAATATGAACTAAAAATATGGTTTCTTAACAATTTACATACGCTTTTACCCATCATACGCCTCAAAGAGCCATCAGACCACCACGGATGGCGCCCAATAGGGCTGATGCCGATTCGGAGTTGCGGAGAACCTAACGGGTTACCGGGGCTCTGGCTTGACGTGTGCAGGAGAAGGAACGGCGTGGTTTTTAGTCAGAGTCTGACACTCCCTCCCACCTCACCTAGGTGGGAGAAATCATTCGATGATTTTCCTTCCTTAAAAAAACCCATCATACGCCAAGTTGTGATCGTGAGAATCGATACAAACAATTTGATTTTAAATCGATATCGTGGGTAAATTGGCGGTATTTGAGCAAAATAAGCTATTGTCCTGGATAAATAATGTTAGGTAATTTTATCCATCGTTATTCGTGAACTAGTCGGCACAGATGACAATATAATTCTAGATAATTTTATCTAAAGAATTTTAGAAGCAGGTAAATGGGTACACAATTATCTCGTGCTTTTATTCTACTATAATGGTTGATGAAATTATGTACATGATTTCGTACAGAGTTTGTTCTCCGGATTTTTGGTCCCCAAAATCCAATGGATAAAAGTTAACATAAAAGGATAAATGTTAACATAACATAACATCACGCCTTTAATCACCGAAGGGGTAGGCAGAGGTGCACATTATGCCATTGTACAATATAACACCCACTTTTCACTATTTATGTTATGAGTCCCATGTAATAGGGGGTGAGCCTATTGCCATATACCGGGGACAGTTCCAGACTCCGTGCTACTACTGAGATTTTTTTTAAAAACCCAGTAATACTTTGCCCGACCCGGAAATCGAACCCGAGACTCGTTGCCCCGTAGTCGCACTTGCGACCACTCGGCCAACGAGGCAATGAAACTAATCATATTGCTTCGCTCGCAAGAGTATACAATAGTTTAATAGAACTTTGGACAACGAGTGTAAATATGTATATGTACAAGTGTAAATGCATTAGTTCATTACAAAGTATACTAGGTAATATTATATATTTAGGAAATACCTATATCCTTACTTGTTGGTTACGACTTCATCACATGCGAACATTAAAACGAATTAGGACCTAAAGAAACAATTTTGACTAATTTATTACCCGATTAATTGTCAGATAAATACACTTCAATTAACTGCGATTAATCGCCAATCGATCACCGATACTCGGTGTTAATTAGGACTTATTACCGATTGTGATTTTCTAATACTTCTAATTTCCATGCATGATGTAATTATACATGTCCTCGTCCTGAAATTTGTAAATTTGAATAATAATACTAACTTAACAAATAAGTACCTTTGACTGTATTACATGATGTCTTCCTTTCAAAGCCTTTATTAGCTATTAATCACCGGTTCTTATAATGAGTTGTTTACTATAAATTACTAAAAGTGATCAGTTATTTGGTAATTATTTATTATATTTTTATAACAATTTTCTGTGATTATAATTATAAATAAAGGACCTATTATTGTTGTTTTAAGTTTCTAAACAAATTATCGCTAATGCTTAATTGTATAGTTGTAATGTATTATAGTTAATTTACAAGTATATAGGAAATACAAAAACGTAAATATCACAATATCGTTTACAATATTATTTTGGTCTCTACAATGCCAAATATTTCATTCTGCGTAAATACAACCAGTTTACCTTTAAAATCATCTTAGGACGTGGGTAATTGTTATAAAAGGTATTTTTTAGTGATTATATTTATTGGTGTATGGGGGACAACCAGCTCATTACGTTGTGGCCGAGCGGTGGATGAATGTGGAACAAGGATGATGCGAAAATACCAAGCGATCGTCGATTGGCCCAATTGTAGAAAATATATTTTAATCAATTTTAATTAACGTCTAAAGTACTTAACCATAGTATAAAAAAAAATATGATACTTTAGTAGCACTGACATATAAGTACGTTGTTTTATGATGTACAGTCGGGTTTGAAAGTAGGTTAACATTTAACAATTTAGTTTCATATTTTATTTCATTTAATTAAAAAAAACATGTTATATTTTTGTCTGGGTGCGTTAATTGTTCTAGTAGGTATTTCATTTAGTTACTTAGTTTTAAATTGTACCTATATACTGTAAAGGCAGGTTAAGGCAGGAAGTCTTACCCGACAATCAAAAGTTACCACAAAATATTAATTTCACATCAACAGCCTACAATGCCCACTGCTGAGCAAAGCCTCTTCTCACGCGGGGAAGGTTTGAGCATTAATCACCACCACGCTTACTTAATACGGGTTGGCAACTATCAATTACTGCAGGTTAAATATTAAACTTGCTATATCACAATACAACCATAACATAACAATGATATGACAAACATAAACTTTCACTGACAGCGACGCAAGCGCAGATTTTCTAAATAACGTAATCGCTGAGAACGGCGTAAGCGCAAGCGTAACGGTCAAGAATGAGCGAATTATAGGTGAATGTGGATCAAGGTGTGAGATGTCTTCGCCTTGTGCCCACCTTGTGCCCTACTTCCGAATGTAACCGAGATGGAATTGAAGTGCGTGCATAATTTTTAATGCGACTGTACTTGTTCTTGTTATTGTGTTCTGACGATCTTGCCGATTTTAATAGATTTGTTTTTTTTTGAGATTCCTCGTGGTTTTATGTAATTTGTTTTTATAAATATAACATATAGAATTTAGTTAATAATTAGATAAATAAATGAAAATTGTTAAACAATCATTTCTGCTAATGAGAGACCCGGTGGAATTTGAAAATAGTAGAATTCTTGTCAAATGATTACCGTGAGTACTGTCCACAGATATAAAATATTTTAATATTCCTGTGGTACTGACGAAAATTTCGTATTTTAGGTCCTAATACATAGGTACCTAAATTATGTCAGGTCTTATTGCTATCATCTTTATAAAATCACCTCCAGTGTATCAATCCATTAACCAATTAAATAATAACGAGTTCGATGCCAAGTTGCGACACCATGTCACCATGTATTGATATTTCAGATGAGTATTATTCGAGAAAGCTGCTCTCATTACCGGTTCTTAAAAGTAAAACTCTTTCATAACTGAGTACTTAGGTAATTACAATATAAGTTGAGATTTTATGCAGATGCCATTATATAAAACATAATGATTAATGAGAGTAATCACGCAATGATTTAAATTAATTGAATTGGCCGCCTTTTTAGTTGTTGGTCGCAAGTGATTGGTAAGAAGTTCTGAGTTCAGTTAACCCTGGGTACAGCTCCAGACTCCTAATGGAGTCTGTACCTAGAGTACCTTTCTTTCTCGATCTCTTTGACTTGATTTTGGTGTTACATTGTTCTCGCACAATCGAACCAATAAAACTGTGTAACTGGAGAATTGTATTGTGAACCTGATTGGAAAATAGTAACCTATGGAGTTTCTTGCTCGTTCTTCTCCATAGGAATCTACACCTTGGAATGAGCAAATAGCTTCACTTTTAAATTTCTGTTGCTGACGTTCAAAAGTGCCAACCTGGTCTAATTGAAATAAATGATTTTGACTTTAGTATAACAATGAGCCGGCCACCTAGCTCCCTTTTTACAATCTTTTACTTCATTATTGCTTACGTTGGGCTATTATGATAATATTAGGTAAAAAAATTGCCTAATACTCATATTAGGCAATCTATGGGATTCTCAAATCCCAGATGTAGTGAATAGTAATAAAAACTAGTCTGGCTATAGCATTTATTTAATTTTGAATATTTTTTGTTTTAAATAAATGATACATTTTGTAATAAAAACATCTAAACATACATACACATATACATTGTTACTTAATTAACTTTTTGCATGCTTAAGTAAGTGCTTTAAGTAGAGCATATTACAGTTACTTATAGTTATTAGGTTTTATACTGTATTACAAAATACTAAATATGAAATCTTGTCTGTTAAAATATCTATTATTTTTATGTTGCAAAAAAATTCAACCCTTTTTGCTTTTGTTAACCAAATTTAAACGCATAATAAACAAAATCTCACCACGTATCGTAACATGTTCACTGCAACAGCCTCCAGTAAATAAATTAGAACACAACAATTATTAACAAACACTAGAATGTCCTAAAAAGTCTTCCACATGTCCAAATTACATCGATCTACAACACGATCAATTCGTTCTTAATTTGAATGTAAACACGCGTGCGCGTTGCGCGAACGCAGCCTGCAGAATGACGACAATCAACGACTCTTGCGCATATCAATCCGACGACTTCTCACTGCTATTGTTTTGCTTCTAGACATTGATTAGAGGAAATGGTTACAGGTTCATTTTTCGACGACTCTATGGTTGGTTCTCTATGTTGATAAAATGTGACGATATGTTACTTCTTGTCCAGTGCTGAAGTGAACACGAGGGAGCTTCTTTTAGGGATACAAGAATGTTTGAAAGTTGATAGTAGAAATTTTCTCCTAATAGCAATGTACCAAACGTAACATCACGCCTTTTATCCCCGAACGGGTAGGCAGAGGTGTACATTATGCCACTGTCCAATGTAACACCCACTTTTCACTATTTATGTTATGAGTCCCATGTAATAGGGGGTGAGCCTATTGCCATATACTGGGCACCATATTCCAGACTCGGTGCTACTACTGAGATTTTTTTTGAAAAACCCAGTAATATTTTGCCTGACCCGGGAATCGAACCCGAGACCCCTTGCCCGGCAGTCGCACTTGCGACCACTCGGCCAATGAGGCAGTCCATGCATTATTATATCAATGTACCATTGATACAATAATCTAACGCATTTATTGGTCCATACTGGTTCCTCATAAAAATATCTAGTTCTGAATTCCTAGATAAACGTAGTATGGTAATTTATCTTAAAAGCAGTTTTATTGGTTAACTAGATCCTTGATATTTACGCAACTTGTAAATCGATGTATAAATTAAATCTGTAAAAATAAGAGCACAACTTTGTACGTGAAGAAATTTCGCCTTAGGTGATAAGTAATATTGGGAAATGTAGAATCTCGCGATTGATTAGGTACTCTTGGTTATTAAAGCCTGAAGATTTATTTATATTTATAAATATTCAAAATATTGCTTCACTGATAATATAGCTATTCTGATTATTGCGACTGCGGAGCAATGTTTACTTCAAAATTTCATGGTTAAGTTCATAATAGTTACTTATATAACTTTAAAATGATTCTACAAATTCTATTGTAGTTTCCTACAATTCATATTCATACGAAAACATAAAAAGAACATGAAACTTCAAACATAATCGAAATACTATTTATTACACTCACAACTCAAAGATCATGATCAACTACAACAAGAAACTAAGTAAACAAAACATTGCGAGAAATCATTCAATTCTCATTTCCAAGCGAATGAACACCCATCCGATCATTGTCCAGTCCTCAATGAAATTGCTTAACTTCATTCAGGTCACCGGCACTCGACGAAATCTATCATACGGAAGAAACCAATTGTCTCGGCCAAACTATTCCCTGTACACTCTATTGTTAAAGCCATAGGGTATAATTTGCAACGTTAAGTAATTTGGTGTGGCCATAACCTTGGATTAGAAGGTGATTGATTTCTGTATCCGTCTATGTTGTCTGATTGTTTTCTTTCCGTGTTAGTTTTTTGGTATCAATCGTGGGAAATTGCTGTTTTAGGAAATATTTAGTTAAGATAATAAGCTTGCTTAGCGTATTTAGGCACTATTGGATTTAAAGGTACTGTTGCACATGCTCTAAAATAGTATGCTAAAGATTGTCTATTAAGTAATGAGGATGCTAAAAAATGTCGATTCGCAGACACGCCTAAAAATTAGTACTTATGCTAATTTTGTTTTATGGAATAGGAGGCAAACGAGCAGACGGATTACCTGATGGTAAGCGATCAGCGCCGCCCAAGGGCACCCGCAACACCAGAGGAGTCACAGGTCACATTCACATGCTAACTAAGACCTCAATTGAAGCATGCTTTGGTGCTTAAAATTTGTATGTGTAACAGTTCCTTAAGACTTGTTTACATCTTGCCAAACTGGAAACTATAATAGGGAAACCATATTTTCATAGTTTTTTTTACTCATTCAATACATAAATGTAATGTAGGTATCCAATACCATATGGCACAATCCAAACCATTATAGAGGTAGTTACAGTGTTAACATAAAAATTAAACCATGATATCTGTTGACCTTGACTAACACCTTTTGCAGTAATAATAAATCAAACCAAACAATAGGCTTAACGAACAGATTACTAACGTACCAAATTGTGATCTCAGTAGAGGTTTTCGGCTTACTCACATAACTCTTTGACGAGGAACTCGACTAGTTTCAAGTCATGGTAGAGGCTCATTTTGATCATATTCATGCACTCCGCCACCCGCGATGCTTAGTTTAGTTTTAATATAAGCTATTCTGTAACTGTCAATTTAAATTTTCGAAGTGAGCTCGTTTGCGTTCTCGCTCGTCATTGGTCGAGATTATTCTCACAACCAATGATATGGTGGACCGTCATCGAGTTCACTTCGAGCTCTCAAATTGAAATTTACAGAATAGCTTAGCGGGTGTGCTAATAAAATTGATGGGGACATGTAGATGAGTTTGCCTGCGACACATAACATTATTTTCGCATAATTATTTTTAACTGGATTACAAAATCAGGGAGATAGCTAGTAGCTACATAAAAATAAATGTTACCTTGTAATAAGAAATAAAATGTAATTAATACCAATTACAAATGTCGATTAATATCTGATTTATTCATCAAGGAGGTTCTGATCTCAGGAATGCAGAAACAATGATTTCAAGGTATTATGTCCTTAGGCAGTTATTAATGTGCCAATATTCCTTCAACGTTATCATTAATTTCTTTTGCTGTTGGCCTTCACATAGATTTGTCTTTGTTACGCCTATTGGAAGGTATCTGCTATCTAGTTTATTGGTATATCCCTATCGTTAGGTACAAGATCTATGTGGTAGATGACTGACTTGAATTGCCTTTGTTGGAATATAGTGCAATAATATGTTATGGAATATGATACGCACCTCACATGCGCAGCCCTAACTATGCAAATAAAATAAAGGTTATTTAGCCCTTCCCATTTTTAAACTTTTTACTTAAAAACTTAGGTACTTTGTATCGTAATTTCGTGATTTCTATTTCGTAATATTGATTGTTACTTCCAGATAAAGAAAACAAGGGTTGCAGGCTACACGACTAGACGTGACAGATACATCTAATATAGAGATAGGTACGACTAGTAGGTACTTATTTTATGCTAAAACTGCTTAGCTAAATAAAATAAGTGGTCGTGAATTCGTGATGCTACAAACTTTCTAATTCATCCATTAAGTGTGTAATAGTAAAATAATACCTATGTTATGCAAATAAGTGTCATAAGGTAGCTGTTATGAACGTAATATTATCATTAGGTCTAGCCACAGGTTATTTTAGAATACCTGTGTAATGACTTCGTAGCCGTAATCGAAAGCTAGCCGATTAATTTCTATTGGTTTCCTTATTTCATTAGGTGGGTTAGGACTTGCTAAGGAACGTGTGTTTATTTATCTGTACAAAATACAAATGATTTATTGCGTTCCACAATGTTTAACTTATGTGGTAACATAGAATATGTTACTTACATAATTTTTTCACGATCCTATTTAACCGCAGCTCCTCTGTGAGACTTTTCTATACTACATAATCTAAAATATTCATTCAGGCCAGTATGTTCAAAAAAAAAAAAAAAGCTAGCCACCAACATAAAAGTGTACAACAAAAACATCTCACACAAGAATGTCTCATTTTGGGGAAAAAATCGTCTAATTTTATCGGTAGCCGTGCGAGGGGGGGGAGGGGGGGTGTCCGATCCATCACGGCCCCTGTCACATGCCATTAGCAAGGCCTACGGGGTACGGGCTGAAGAAAGTACTGGAGGTACCAACTGTACGTTGGTAACATTTTATGATTTTAAAATATTATGCTTTTGTCCATAACTTCGTCGTAGCACACAGTTATTTTTTGCAAAATAACTGTGTTTACATTAGAACTTTGGTATAGAGATACTAAGAAAACCTTAGATAGATATAGAAAAAACGATGTATTGTCCAGAGGCTTTTTTAATTGGTATAGATTTATTGGAAAACCGAAATAGTATATTCTTAACGATTTACAAGATAACACGATTAGACAAAAACGATTTACTGTATAAATCTATTTCTGTATATAATTTTTGTATATTATTTCTGTATATACTATATATACTGTAATTTTTTGTTAATTTTATAAATTTCTGTATATACTGTATATAGAATAGATTTATTGTAAAACGAAAAATATAAAACTAATAAACTGTTATTATATATCTCCATATTACAATTCAATGAACTATATGCGGTAAAAGGTAGACAGATCGATATGGATAGATAAAATTTTGCATTAAAATTTAATTATTAGGTACTGATACAGTCTAATTAGGTACACAGATCACAGTAGACCTCGACTGTAGGTAGTTAGCAGCTACATATTTATCTTACAGCTTTTAAACTACTATAATTATTACAAATACTTATCTATACATTCACCAGTTATATCTCGTCGAAGAGAAACTAAAATCATATTTATTTGACTGCTTATTTGCGCAACTTGCGAAAATAGTTGATATCTACACTGTCAAATGGTAAACGATCTACAATTTGCATTAATTGCATTACATAGGAACATAATGTAATAAGTAGTCATTCTAGTTGCAATATTTTAACTCTAGCAAGGAGTATCTACTTAAATGCTACATTTACGATTTCATAATTCTATGATACTTAGGTACCTAGGTAGGGTATTTTTTTTTTCTGATAGCGAGACGATCTCCGGCCATCTTAAGCACGGGCCTGCGGTCAAGCCATGCGGAAGAGCCATCAGGCCACCACGGATGGGGCCCAATAGGGCTGATGCCGATACGGAGTCGCGGAGAACCTAACAGGTTACCGGGGCTCCGGCTCCAAATGCAGGAGTAGGAACGTGGTGGTTTTTAGTCAGTAAGAATCTGGCACTCCCTTCCGCATCACCCAGGCGGGAGCAGTCATTCGATGATTTTCCCCCCTTAAAAAAAGGGTACTTTTTCTTTGTACATAACACACATAATATAACATCACGCCTTTTATCCTCGCGGTAGGCAGAGTCCCATTTAATAAGTGGTGAACCTATTGCCACATACCAGGCCCAATTCCAGACTCCGTGCT